CCATCCATCCATCCATCCCCCCACCCATCCGTCCACCCATCCATCCACTCACTCATTCAACCACTTACCCTTCCATCCCTCCATCCACCCATCCACCGACCCCAAACCTCAATCCATCCAGGCACCCAGGCGGTGGTGAAGTACAAAGACCACCACTTCCGACTCATGTCACATTGGGCTGCTCATGTCCCTTTCACCGTACCTCGGTTTCCCCGTCCGTACAGCGGGGACACCTGAAGCCCATCCGGTGAGGTGTTTGGGAGAAACACTCCCTCTGGGCCTGGGGCTATGGCCGAGCCTCCCTGGGACCCTGGGCTCAGGCACCGCGTCTGTGGCCGCCCCTCCCAGGTGGTGGTATCTCGCGTGGCCCGGGTGTGCACGAATGACGTGGGCGGCTCCCCGCGCGTGCTGGAGAAGCAGTGGACGTCCTTCCTGAAGGCACGCCTCAACTGCTCTGTGCCCGGGGACTCCCACTTCTATTTCAACGTGCTGCAGGCCGTCACTGGCGTGGTCAGCCTGGGTGGCCGGCCCGTGGTCCTGGGCGTCTTCTCCACGCCCAGCAACAGGTAGTGGGCCCTGCCGGGGGTGGGGGGGAGTTGGCCAGGGGGCCCCGTGTTCACTCAAGATACTCCTGTGCTGGGCAGGCTTGGACCCAAAAGGCCTCAACCATAACCATAGGCCGGGAGGGTAGGCAGCCTCATCCTCCGCCTGTGGGAGAAGGAATTAGGGAGGGCTTCCCGGAGGAAGGGGCATCAGAGCAATGTTTGAGCATGAGATGGAGGAAGAGGGAAGGGTGTTCCAAGTTGGGTAAGAGCGAGTGCAAAGGTCCTGGGGCTGTTATGTGCTGGATGTGTTAAGTCAAGAGAAGAGGTCTGTGTGGCTGAGTAGAGGGCAGGAATGAGGGAGTAGGATGTGAAGGCAGCAGGGCTCTGGGAGAATACAGACAGAGAGAGGAGCCTGGACTTCATTCTGAGACCACTAGGGAGCCCTAGGAGACTCTAGAGGGAGAGAGAGGAGTGAAGTCAGGTTTGCATTTTTAGAAAAGTCTCAGGGCACTGGGCATGGTGGTGCATGCCTGTAATCCCAGCACTCGGGAGACCCCCGAAAGTTCGAGGCCAGCCTGAACTACAAAGTGAGACCCTGCATCCAAAAAAAAAAAAAAAAAAGACAGTGGCACCGCGCCTGTCTCGAAAGTGCAAGGTCCCAAGTCTGATCCCTGG